ATTATCTTAATTGATATTCGTCTACGAGCGGATCAATTATCCGCGTTTCAAAAACCAAACTGGAGTGGAATGCAACAGCCATCTCGCAAAGAGCCTTATTTTTAGACCTAACTTTCGGACCATCTCACTGGCACATGTCTGTATGTGTATACAATTAATAATTAACATAATAAAAATGCTTTTACTTTCAGATAAGATCTTTAAGATGTCTGAAAAGTAAGTTAATCAATATTCGCTGAGATTTTTACTGTGTTCTAGTTGACCTCGAACATCGTTTGGCGGCAAAGAAGTGATCTTAGTAATTCCATAGGTAATAAATATCGTTCGCGGTACTGAGCGACAAGTTATACGAATGAAAGTACCTTCAGGCCTACTGATAAAAGATATTTGCTCAGCATCAATGAATTTCACATCTCCTCTGTGAACTGTCTGTTCATTTTGTTTAATTTATAACTTGAGGGAAAAGAATGAATGATTGCCTAAGGTGCTATTCAGAAAAACGTGGTCCATTGTATGTTTAGTGACGAGTATGTTCTAAACAAGATTTTTGGTATCATAACATTATTCACATCCCACATCAAAATCGTTTAAATCTCTTTCACAGGGTTTCCTAAATTTCGACATAATTCAGGATGAGATGAATAACGCAAAATAGTCGCAAAATAAAACGCCTAAATAAGCGTTTATGTTGTAAAAATCATACTTATCTCCACACCCCTAACGGTTTCAACAAATACCATCACAACTCATGAGACCCACGGAAAAAGCCTGAATTAACATATAAGTATGAATTGTAAATGGGTGAGTTTGCAAATTTTCAATCGCCAACTTAATGCCTTCTGACTTACAGTGTGACTTACTCTTGGGTAATTAACGTAGTAAAACCTGTTGGGTATCTAGAATGTCTGGAACCTTTCACTGATGTCATAATTGCACGTATAATTAAATGGCTTTCAAATTATTTGAAGGATTGATCGAAAGATTGTAGTGGAACACTTCCACAAAGGAAACGCAATTAATGAAAAGAAAACATCTATTATTTTACTCGTTTTGTTTAACTGTACTAAAAACACTTAATTCTAATTTTTAATTAATTAATTTGAATTAATTTTCTCGCGTTTCTGTCATCTTTCATAGCTTGCTGCTCATTGTATCGCCCACTTTCTCCCTCAAATATATTATCCATTCTGGGTTTATTTGTATTTAATATGACGCGACAGTATCTAGTGATCATTGTCAATCTTGACTCCGTCACCACTAAAAGCTACTAGGGTCTCTTTAATCCACTCTGGTTGTTTGCCGAAGTTGAGGTAATCTTAGGCTCATTCCTTGAACCACTCGTTGTATTAATGTTTCACTAACCTGGCCCTATAAGTTCGTTAGCTTGGCTACGTGTACAAGGATTTAGATTTTTCGATGTTTTTAAGTTGCTTTTTTGAAATGACTTGTATGTTTAAGTATTTTTTTGCTGAGATCAGTTTCCATATTTTTTGTTTGTGTATACGAATGAAGAAGGAAAACGTGAATTCAGGATGTGCTTAAGAAGGATCAATCAGAAAGGATACTCACATAAAAATTCAAAGCCTACGTAGCTTTAAGGATCTCAGCGTGCGACCTATTAAGTAGAAGGCATATCATTTTCATGTGACTAACTACCGGTAATTGCACCAGTCTTAAAAGATCAGTAGTTCATTTTATTACACTTAATAGAACACTCATTTAGGAAATAAAATAAACGTGCCCGTATGAGTTGCCTTGTGAACGTTTCGTGGCCAGAATCAATAGCCTGGATTTTCATACTGTATGGGAGGTAACGACGGCTTCCGCATTCCTTAAGAAGCAGGACGAATTTACACGCTGCCTTACGAGATACAGGTAACTATTCAATGATCTATATGACAATCATTTTAACCGTTAGTAAGAAGTTCGGTTTATCGTTCCACTACTGTAAGCGCTTTCCTATAACTGAGGAGTATGTTTCAAAATGCAAACAGTCCCTGATTCTGACAAGTCCAGTTTAAATTTTTAAAATGGTTGCGGTTACAATAGCTGAGTGAGGTTCCGTTTTTTAACATTGAACATCCGGCGCTGCTGTGTAGGTAAAGACTAAACGTTTTCCAGTTTATAAGTAAGAATTCGTAGTTTGAGTGCTTAAGAATAAATGAATTTAAATCTTTCAGAATTGTTCGGTCGAAAAATATGTGTGAAACTACACCTTTTAGGGATAGATGTTAGTTTGTGGTTACCCAAATTTCTGAAACACTAGTCTAGATTTCTCAAAGTGAGGTTCTCTCTCGAAAGCTCTCAGTTGTCAGCAAGATGTAACATTTTTAAAGACACTTATCGGGAGGGTCAAATGTAAACACTTAAAAGAGCCAAGGACATAGCACAGAATTCTGAAACATCCGCATGTTGACGTGAAAGAAGAGTTTAACCTAAATGTGAAGAACGAATCATTATATGACTTAGGACAGTCAGCGTATGTTGAGTGAATTCCTAACTGATTGAGTTTCCTGGCATATCACATATGATAGACTTAATCAACAGTCCTAGGGTGGCTGAATTATGCTCTATCAATTTTACCTTATGACTAGTATCTTTGTTCGGTCATCCATCGTAGCCAGCATATCCGCCGAACAGAACTGACTTTCTTGAAACCAAGCTTTTGGAGTACAAACAGATTTATTGAAAGGAAGAATCACCAATTAGCAAGAGACTTATCAGCCAGAAAGCAACAGATTAAGATTTCAGAAAAGAGCTGTGTGACGAAATAAACTTTCCGGGAGACCAATTTTTCAATCGGATCAGCTTTCATGTCACTTCTTGGGATCTTTGTGGAAGTATCTCTGACTTTCACAGGCTTCCGACAAACGCAATATTTGCTAGTTTATCTATATTCTACCGCATATAACTCTTTCAGATCATGTGATCTGAGAGCATGATTTTATATGAGAACAGGCTATCCCAAACCATTTGCGTAACAGGAAGACTGGTAAAATGTAAACAAAATTTCCCAAAGAATTCCCAGTTAACAGTTACATCACATTGAAAACTACTTTTCCCGGCTACCTGGCCTAGAATGTCCTTTGGTGGAAAGTGGAGTGAGATTGGAGCCTTGTACGTAATATCAGAAATTCAGACGTCTTAACCGATGGAATTCCACTCCACACTGAATTAGGTTGATCCATTGTGAAGAACAAAGAGTGCTATCTTACAAATGTCGTCGCTTATAGCGAATTGAAGCTATGTTACACCAATATCCGCGTTCAGTCACGTCGGAGGCAGAAACTAAAATACCAGCTGCGGTAGGATTTAAAGTTTATTCGTTGGACATCTCGTGGTATCAAAACAATACCAAGATCCATCCAAAGTGTGCAAGCGTACAGGAGCAATATCAAAGTCAATGGAGGAAGGATGATATCTGTTTTGGGTACAACTAAGCAAATGAGTTCAATAAAACAATCACTGGTACAATGCATTACAATAATGAATGTTTATATTAAACCAATAGCGTACCCATCACAAAAGTGGAGTCGCTAAACACTGATAATATAAAACATCATCATCAGGAATTCAAATCAATAGTAATTTCATAAATGTATTGGGTAACTCGTTACCTCCATTTCAACTTGTCACAATGATTTGAAAATCTGGGTTGGTATGCAAAATCCATCACAGCCTCATTTTATCATCATTCGCCATGAGTGATCCTCGAGATATTTAGTTTTGTCTTTAATAGCTCAGGACTACCAAGCCAATCACTGTGTACCTTTTTGTTACATTATAACTCTTATGATTTCTACTGACGCCTTTTGTGTAAATTCCACAGATAAAAGTATGAACTCTGTGGGACACTGTTCATGCGTAATCAGTCACGCTCCACAACCTGTCTTTTTGACCTTAATCGGATTCATTTTTATTTATACTTTTCCTTTGACAATCCTTGAAAAATGGTTTTGACCTATTTTCCTGTTACTGGCAAACTTACAATGACTGACCTCAAGCATTTGAATATGAATGGAATTTGGGATTCCGATTATTGCAGCAAAAGTATGGTTGCAAGGGCTAAAAATGGATGCGCATTTCTTCGGCACTGACCTACAACAACACGGAGAATAGTCGGAATACACTAGGTTGTTTTTTTTCGGGCAGAGTTTTGGAGGTTTTGTGTCTTTACACATTTGAAATCATCAATTAAAGGTTGTTTGTTTATACGTATTCCCATGTTCAAAAAACATGAAATTTTAATCCATTATAAACAAATCTAGAGAATCTTCTATTTCCTCAGAGTGCACAGTGAAAGCGAATATTGAGAACTGACGCTTTTAGAAACGGGAAATCAAAGTTAGGAAATGTGAGATAAAAACGTTTGGTCAATCTGAAAGATGTATGAGTTGATAAATCGGATGAGGGGTTCTAAATGACGGTGACCATAATCAATCTAGAAGTTTCATGAATCCAAAGTAAGACTGTCAGTCTTCCCTGCTGTGCCGTGAGGCACATAAACACCCTAATTCTGATTCGACCTTAATCTCATTATCTAAAGTAGAAACGAATAAGAATTTATAGTTCAGTGCTCACAGAATTATGAGATTCCAAATCCGTGTTATTAATTAATTACTAATTACTTGTTCAAAAGTTACATAACGTTTAAAAAAACATGGATTTTATTGTAAAATGGCACTAGAGACTAAGCTTCAAAGTGTTTACCAAAATTTGTCCCAAATATGGTTATAGTTGAAACTTCATACACAGCTGTGGAACGTGACTGAATAATGCCGTATATTCAGTACGAAAATTCATCTACCAGGATGCTCTATGAGCACGGTTTTATAATAATTCGTGATAAAGCAGATTTCGTTAGATTTTAGATCATGAAGACGATTTTGAAATTGGGGAGTTTGCTTCGAAGGGATTAATGCATGTAATTCATCCGTACTTGAGACTATAGAAATGAGCAGCAATACAAATCAGGTTCCATTTGAAGGTCGCTTCAAAGGTCGATATCGAAAGGCGGTAGCTGTAAACACTTCGGGAGATGAGTGTCTCTTTGCTTTTTGACGAGGCGGCGTATGAGAAGCTTTCTGAAGTTAAAAAACCTATATTTGTATTTGACTGGCTATGTTCACTGGAAAAAAGACTAGTGGCAGAAAACAGACAGGCCATCAAGGAATGCCAAGAGGATCTGGTACAACAATTATTGTCCCACCTGACTCATGCTCCTGGACGCCCAACACACAAGCTTTTGGGCCGTTGTTTCGCAAACCTCTTTTTAGTGGGAGACTCACTTTTACTTTATACTGCCGTAAACACCTGTAACGCTCTATTGAAATCCCGAGATGATGGACCAGCGTGCATCAATAGTCGCCTAGCGGCATTAAGCTGTCTCGGAACCATATACAAGCGCCTTGGACGTATGATTGGCCGGTCTTTTGAAGACAGCGTTCTCATCATGGTGAAGCTGATTAAACAGGTAACATAACAGTCGAGTGTTATTTGTCCTCGCGTCCCAGTATATATATATATATATATATATATATATATATATATAACAGAATTCTATTTAATTTCTCCCGATTAAAAAAAGCAAAATTTATCAAGTTTAATGCTTTTAATTCTGTTCTGATTCTGCTTTGCACATTGTATTTCCACCAAAGTACAAGTCTGTACCCTTCTACCGCTCTAGTTTACTTAATTATCACATCACATTTGCATTAGTATCTGATCCGTTGCAGTGTTATTGTCGTCTAAGGCATTCATAGTCTGACATTCCCATAGTTCTGTCTGTTTAAAACTTTTCTTTCTAATCTAACAAGATCAGATGCCAAAAGCATATACAGAATAAAGTTGTTCATTGTCTCATATTTTCACTGTTACCCAAACTTCCTAATTTATTTGGCAGCACTACTCATCTCATCAGAATATAGTGAACAGCTTCTAAGTTCCAGGTCTCAGAGAGCATATCGAGCTGCAGGCAGTATGTCGGTATTTCAAGACTCAATGAAGAGTATAAGTTTAGATAATCAAAACCAGTTTAGGCTTTATTTCCGCATTTTGTTTCTGAATCCCAGCTAGACATCAGATGACTAAATCCTAAAATTTCAAGCAAGTCCCCTTGGGGTCATCATCAAAATATTGTTGTTAACACACGTACGGTACATTCAGTGTCAACCCATTGTACCAAAGGTTTTTGTATTGTAAGTGAAATAAATAAACGTAATTCATCATCCGTGAATATTTTAAGTACAAAATCCCAGGATTACTAGTTACTGTTATGAAAATTATTAGATATGCCACTTTTCACGCGTGTAGTCAAATCTTGACCACAATTTCTACGTATATCTGTCTACATCTAGAAAATGTGCATTTAAAAAGCTTTTGTGTCACGCTTAATTAAACAGTGAGGTATAGTCACTAAAAATTTCCACTTTATTTAAAATATATTGCAGTAGCACTGAATAATAAAAACCAGACGCTAAAGTTCTCTAATAGTCATGGAGCAGAATTCATCTTAACAGTTCTGGTATTTTAATACCATATGATCAGAATAATAAATCTGAAACCCTTGGGTCCTATGTTAATAGTTTTGAGCCTGCATTAGTGACAAAGAGCTAGCTGTTGTAGTTCATAACAATAAATTTAGGAAACTCAACTATTTCTTGACCTAGGATTGCGTGTTGCTGGGTATCCTATTATTCGTAGTGTTTTCTTATCATAAATATAAATATAGTTAGTTCGTTCGAGCCATGTTGGTCAGTGTAGATTACCAGGTTGGGGTCTGTGAGATGATAGTAACCAATAATTAGGGACCTTGAATGAAATGGTTCGAAATCGTTGGCAGTGCTACAGGTGCATCCGCTCTTTGTGTTCTCTCAAATGCCAATCTTCTGAATTCCTCATCACCTTCATCTTTCTCTTTTTTAAAATTTATTTCGCTGAATTGTACCTCTTCCATTACAAGGAATAGGTAATTCAAAGTTTAATTCGTTTTTTCAGTCCGAATCACAAGTTCGATGTGAAACTATGAATACATTATGCAATTTGGTCGAAGGGGTTGGTTCAGCTAGTGCTGTATGTCACAAAGAAATATACAAAGCGGTGAAGATCTGCATGACGGATCGAGTACTTTACGTACGCGTTGCTGCAGTTAAAGTGAGTCGATTTACCATTAATATCTCTCCTACATTCAACATAAGTTTAACAAACATTATATTCATACGTATTCTAGCCTCCTTTAATACTATTGAATTATTACCACATTAATTATATATTATGAAAAATGTAAAGTAATTGGAAGTAAGCATTTTTTTATCATAAGTTTAAACGTAACACATATTGGGACGTTTTATCAACGAGTGTCTTCATCCTTTTTGTTAAACACGTAGTTGAAATTTGTAAACGATTTCAATGGACTGAATGTTCGTTAAGAGAGTATAATGAATGTTATGAGTTTACACGTAAAGGTTCTACAAATTACTCATAATCTTATGAGTGCTATATTTTTAGATGTAACATATGACTCTTAGTAATATCTCTTTAATAAATATTTTCCTGGCTTAGTAGTTTAGTTTCAGAGGCAGAAATATTTTATGATTGCTTAGGTCTAACAAGGTTTTTTTATCTGTGCCACTATTACTTTCAATTCATTGTACAACAGAAATGTATTGATCACCTCTAAAAACTTTATACAAAGCATTGGTAGGGTAGAAAAGAAAACTTCCTAAAAATATACAGTACTGAACGAATGTTGTTTTTTAACGTTATGACTGCTGTAAGTGATACTTTCGGTCAATACTACTACCACTACTACTCAACATTATATCTGCAGTTTAACTCCTCAGGTATATTTGTCATGGATTTTTACTTCATCACTTATTCCTCATGATATCAATCTAAATTTTCTAAACTGTCTGTTTCTCAACACTTATCCAATATTATTTCTCCAACTCTAGTGTCTTTACTTCCTGGTTGATCATTCGCATTCAATTCATACCAATGAATTAGAAGCTACTGTGAGTTTATGTTTACGGTGCATGGATGGATCCAATTATGCAACTCGACTTGAAGCCTCACGTACTTTGGGACATTTGTTAGCAAAAACTCAGCATAAAAGGGTTGGGAACGCAGGATCTGATACATCCGGCAGTGGGGCGGCTGGGACGTCTAGTAAGTTATTAAGGCGTCTAGCTTTTCTCCATTTTTACGTTAGTAAAATTTATAAAAATTACTGTTTCCCATAATATCATGCTACTCATTGTCTTCCAAGTTAGGCAAACAAAAACAAAACCATTGCATAGTATTGCCTACTCATTATATGGAACTAGGACATGAAGACTCAAAGTTAAAAAACCTCTTAATAAAAGGTAAACTTTCATAGATTTGTAATCCATTTACTTCGAAAAGTAAATTTAATCTATTGAAACGCAGCACGAATGCGAATTTGTTGGTATTACCTTAGGGATTCCAAGTACTTTTCATGCGGTAAACATGGCTGTTACATAGTTACTAGACTTCGTAAGTTGATTTGTATCATAAGTTAACTGTATTCTCGAAAAATGTGAGTTATTTTATTCTGAATCAATATTGTACCTTTGATTTACTGCCTCATGTAAACATTCAGTTGACGAGTCCCAAATAGGACCAAAAGCGCGTCCTGTATTCCACTGCTAGCCACATTTTATCTATTCTATATTTCCTGGTTAGTTAGTGAAACCGGTTAAGGATTTATAAGCTACAATAACTGCCAGATACATTGGTTGTTTTTTGTTTATGTAGTTGTTAAAAAGCTTTCGTGTTACCCCATCAAGTTGTTAAAATAATTATTAGATAGATTCAACTCAAAAGCTGTTAAATCACAAATCATGTATCTGCCAAGACTATTGCTTCGTTTGTATAGGTATGTAAAAATTGCATACTTTTCTACCTAGTTCATGGTTGCATCTACATTTAAACCATCTATACTTCCTTGTATTTCTAATGACCAGTTGATAATTCTTCACAATGGATCCAAAAGCTTGGAAAGAAACATGGATTTGAATTTAGGTAACCATAACCAAACTGTTCATATATCTTAAGCTACTGATGCCTTCATAAGCGAATAAATTTTTTACTACACATGCCTGTAAATCATAGAAAAACTTAAGTATTCGATTTATCTATATTTCCCTGGTACAATATTTAACTAATAACCCTTAGATTGGCTTAAACATGATTATATTAAGACACATGTCGATGAACAAAACACTAAAATAAACAGAAATTTAGTATTTCTAGTAGTAAATTGAATGTATATTATAAATCAACAATTTTCATTGTTTTATGTTAACTGTAATGACGTTTAATTTCTTAGCAATTAAGTATCAGAATTTCGTTGTAATATATCAAGTTGACAGGATTCGAAGATATAATTTATGATTAATAACTTTATGTTGTTAATACTAGTTAAAAACGTTATGTTCATGAGTGACTGAAAGTATACATAAAACTTTGTCCAAGTACTAGTTGTTCAGTAATCTAATAGTATTTTAGTGTGATTGTTTAACGTTTTTTGACCTACGAGGATAGCGATCTTTTCAGATGTCTATTGAACGGTAGCGGTATCGGTGCACCAGTTCACTTTGTTATGACCTACAAGTGCATGGCATAATCGTTGTCACCATTAAGTCGAACCAAATTTAGTATGGTAAAAAGTTTAGGTCGTCTATGTTAATGTACGTTCGTGGTAGTCAACAGCCTTCAACCACTACCTTACATTTCAACATAGATCACTCTATGTCAAGTGATCAAATAATTTTACATACTGACTATAGTTAAAGGCCGTGTGTATTTACATTTATATACATAAAGTAGTTATACTGGTTCGTAGGTCATTGGAACACGTTCGTGAGATTTATGTAATTATTCAGTTCTGTAGGTGAATTTACTTTCTTCTTATTTTGTAGTTTGTTCCAACCTATGTTTACTTTGTTTGCTCATATATTTCTAACACTGGCTAGAGCAAAACTGCATATTTAATAATCATATAAATAAACAACTGTCGATGAAGTAACTGTGCATTAAATGTGATTTATTTTTCAGATACTACTATCATTACACGATATAGATTTATTGTTGTGAAATTAGGGATTATTATACTTGCTTAATACCTGTTGGTGATGCATTATAATCTATCCGTTGTAAACCCGATACATCTTATGAAATTGTTCTTTCCCAAACTTTTGCCTTTGATATAAATACTGAAAAAAATGCATGGAAATAACAGTACAGACTTTTCTTAAAAGTAACTTGATGTCACCATATCCATCTAATGTTGAATATTGTGTATTACCGTTCATTTTCATGTCATTACTTTTTGTTGCTATCTCTTGATGCTATCTCTTTAGTACCATTATTAACAATTATCAGGTGTTTATATGATTTTTTCGGGCAGAGTTTTTGGAGGTTTGTGTTTTTACACATTTGAAATTCGTTTCTCGTCCTTTCTTTATTCGTAGATAATTCGCGGAGCAAACCTGTCTCACTTACAGATGCATTATCATTATTGTCATCAGGATTTTTAAAAGGTCCAGGTGGATTCTTAAAAGGTACCAGTGCTACTGATATGATTAAAGGAACTAGTCCAGTTAATCGAGAAGTTCGTGTTGGTGTAACTTATGTAAGTGTATAAAACATGGTGTTAATATCATTATTTATATGAAAATAATTTTTGTGAGAATTTTATTTAATTGAGCTCTATTCCATTATTCCTTTTGATGAGACTTCTTTGGTGAATTCGAAATTAATTTTTCTATTCAATCAACCCAAAGAAAGTATTGTTTTATTTAAATGGCTTCTTCGATGCAATTAAGTTGTTTGAGTTTATGGAGTAAAATTCATTTTTTTCATGAGGACTAATGATACTACTGGTTCACCTAAGCATAATTAGATGCAGCGGGTGTTCATTATTGCTACTCAGCAGTTAAACGATGAGTAACTTAATCATTAGGCCATCGTTCTACAATAACGAGAAGTGGAACTCATTGTTTCGACACTGATTTTTATCTTTGAATTATTGGTACAAATTCGCTGAGGATAGTTTTGGACAGATAATCAACAGACAATAACATATATCGGTCACGCTCTGTTGTAGCGTTGGTCGCATATGATTGAATTAAGAACTATCAAACAATACCATGGTATCAGTACATGAGGTCAATGAGTTTTTTATCAAGTCATGTTGAGAGGTGCGAGCATCCTGGTCATGGTTCTCCAGGAGCATATTTGTGGAATAATTTACAAATCATTACTGTTTTCATGTCTGCGAGTTACAATACTGTCTGTTGACCCGTAGCTGGCTAACGATATGAACTTGAATTTGAACTCATGAAGCAGTGAACAAAAGTGGAGTACTGAGGCCACTTATTACCCATATTTTGCCACATTAACTGTTGTTTTTATTTTAATAATTATTGTTACTATTGTTTCCAAACATACTGACTCATTAGTGTACCCGTTTTTTCATTGATTTAACATGAGTTTAAATTCAGTTAATTCTCAACATAACCATGATTATCAAGTGCTTGTTGTATTAGCTAGCGATTATCTGGACTCAGTAGCTTTCTGTATAATGCGGTTGAAGCTAAATTACTGAGTTAGTCCTGATGCTAATACCGACAGTGAGATTCAGGTATATCCAGTTGATGAGCTCTACATAGGAAGAAACGCTCATTCTGAATTTTATCGCTAGCCACTATCCAAATCTCTTAATGGTAGATATCTATCTACATCATGAGAGACTAACAGTTAGTAACCTTTCTCTTGTTTCTTAATCACTGATTAATGAACGCTAATCAATGTTGACTAAAACTAAGTTACACTTAGTTGATTTTTTAATTGACCAATTTATTTTTATCGTATTTCCAGGCCTATATTGAATTTATTGTCGAGATGGGACCATTATGGTTGGAAACTAATTTGTCAACTATTCTGACACATTTAGTGAACCTTTTATTAATTCCACGTGCTACACCTACTCATGTTGAGGCTATATATGCACGTCAATGTATACACTATCTGTTGGGTACTGTATTTCGACATTTATTATCTGAATCAATTCAGTTGGTTGCAATTAGTGAATTGGTAAAGATATTAGTATATCATTTACAATATTTACAAAACCTTCATGTGAATGAATATTCAATTAACAATGGTGATATATTTCAACAGATCTTCACCTCATCCTCTTCTTCCGTAACACTAACTGCTAATAATAATAATGATAATATAAATGAATTATCAGATTCATTACCAAATGATATTTTCACTGAAACTGGTATCGACACTAAAAACGGAGATAATCAGACCATTACTAGTAATATAAATAATTTAGATAATGTTATGGAACCAGAGAATGGAAAAGTGAAACGTAGCCTTGGACGTCAAGTTGCAACAGGAGCACAGACGACGACGATAACAACAACAGCTACTACAGGTGGTAGTAGTTCACGTTCAAATCGAGAACAACAACATCAGCACTTAGTTATTTGTGTGCTAGATATAATTAGTCAATTAATTCGTTGGTTAGATTCATTAGTTGGTAAGCACTTTTTGTCGATAATTTTATTCTGTAAATATTAATTTTATCAAATTGTTTGAATGTTGTATTTTAATTTCTCTTCCTATCCAATTTTATCGTTATTCAAATAATAGTTAGATGCAAGTTAATTTGCTTGACTTCGAGCAGTGTTTTAATTATGAGTTCTGGTGATAATATTTATATATGTGGCTTTCAATTGAAAGTTTATATGTATTGATTGTTTGGGATTGCAACATATGCAATGAAGTAAATTTTGCACAAACCAGTGACTATACGGACTCAATACGTAAGTGTATAACGCTATGGCGTTTGAAGCAAACACGGTACTGAGTTTGGTCGCAGAGTGAACATCAGCTCTGAGATACAGGTACATCCATCTGACGAGTCTCAAATAGGACGAAACAAACGTCCTAAATTCCACTTCTAGTCACCATCCGTCTCTGCTTGATAGGTTAGTATTTACTTG